ATTCCTCTTCCGTTAGGATGACATACGAGGTATTTTGGTAAGTAAGAATAATTATAAAATGTGCTATTATAGATTATTTACAGTCACTATGTTCCAGTGCGTTGGATTGATGACGTCCCCGAAATGAGCTCATAAAGGAACCTTATGTTAAACCCTGCAGGTAGACGATTGTCTGACATAATGGTTAAAGGCTGAGTGGTACTAATTTCGGAAATGAATAAGAAGTTGATTAATTACTTTGTCAGTAATTTAATTAATCAACGGACGTTATCTTAAACATAGGGAGGTAAAACGATCAATCAGATTAATATTATTTAATCATGGAGGCTCGATTTTATTAGTAAAATAGTGGCTAAATGGGGAGAGCAATAATATTACTTTAGTGAGATGTTTTATTATTTAATTCCATTAAATAGGAATTAATTTTATTCCATATTAATTAATTAATTAGGAGAATAAAATTCCTACTAGAATCTTCTCTTGGGATTAGGAGACTTGGGAGTCTTCTAGAAGATGAAGATTAGTGGAAATATGTTTCCTACATTGTATTAATTAATTGGGGTAAAATTAGGTTTCCTAAATTAGGATTTAATTCTATTCCATGTTTATTAATTTAATTAGGAAAGGAAATTCCTACAAGGATCTTCTCTAGTGTTAGGAGACTTAAGAGTCTTCTAGAAGAGAGAGATTAGTAGGAGATCTCCTTCCTAGATTGAGTTAGTATTGGATTGGAATTAGGAGTCCTAGGCCTAATGGAATAAGTCCATATTTAGCACCTCCTTAAGGTCCCTAATGGAGCCTATATATACACCATGTCCCATACTCTTCTACAAGAGTTGTCTTGGCCGATTTTTCCCTACTACATACACGAGGGAATTACTTTGTTCGAGAGTTTGGGAGATCCCATTAAACGCTCCACCATGTTTAATCGGAATAGGTGTTTAGGTAATCCATTAGAAGGCTTTTTGGTACAATTGATTGAGCTTTCTAATATATATATATATATTCGGTCATCATCACCGTCCAATCTCCGCCGTCCGCCACCGTGAACCACCGCCGGAGATCACCAACTGCCGTTGGAAGTCAGCTGAGCCAAGCCGATCGCAACCGCGAGTTGTCGCACGCCGTCGCGCATCAGCCAGGCCCGAGCCAACTCCCAGCAGCGCCCGCGAGCGACGCCCGTGAGGTCCCAGCCGCACCTGCTCGTCGCAGACCAGCCGCGCATCTCGTCAGTCGTCGCCCGCGTATCCCCAG